TGTGTCTTCCTGAGAAGCTATGGATCACATTACAGGCAGGAATATATGCGGTTTACCAAAAAGCATAACTTTGTGATTAACATTTTACAGAAAGACTGAGGACCTCTAGATACACAGATCGTATTAAAATATTCTCTCACAGTATGGATCAGGCAACATAAGAATACAAAATGCTATATCTCATACATCCAAAGATATATCCGACACCCCCGCCTGGAATACGGTGAGTTCTTTTGGAAAGGTGTAGCCAGTATCAGCAGCTTCAAATGTCTGCATGTGGCACCAGTGAGAATACTAGAATCTGCCTTTGTCTGCAGTTACCTGATGCTGCAAAGAACTACAGGGAAAAGTAAAAGGAAATTGCATCCTCTCAGCAAATCCAAATGACAGCATGGAACAAAAAAAACGACCTGCGGTGAAATGAATTCTCGGGCCGGGCTGAGTGGCAATCACAGAAACCTAAAATAGCTCACAAGGGCTGTTTGATTATTGTTTTCATGGGGGCACAACACAAGTTATATGCCTGGGAAATAGTTTGGAAGATTTGCAGCGATACATCATTTGAATAAACTTTGGAATCACCAACTATTGATATTCAGGGGGTGTTGAATTACGGAGAAACATCGTTATAGAAGAGTTATTCCTTATGTGGACACCTGGGCCTGGTTAGTTAACACTATTCAAAATCTATCTATCTATCTATATGATTTCTCATCTGCTAATTTAAAATCCTGCGCCCTTTTGATGATAAATAAATGAATGAACAGTGCTAAAGTGGACATACGAGACGCATTTTACATAATAAAACACCACCTATAGCACATTAAAGCCCCTTTTGAGAAATTACGCTATGCAAGATGTTTGCAAAGCACTCTGGGTCATTTGATACATCTTATTTCTTCTCCTTAAACACGCAGTTTGTATTCAGGTGGGGTGGGAATGGATTTGGTTGTGGTGCGATGTACTCCAGCAGCCAGCCGCAGAGTGTTAATGCGCCCATTAAGCATCTCCTAAACGAAGGGCTGAGGGCCTGTTTGTTACCGCTGCACGCATGACAGGAATGCTGGGATATTTTAATGAGCGCAGGGTCCCCTAACCTGAAAACACATCTTTCATCGAGGGTCTCCGCTCCGAAAATCTTAATCTCCCTCTGGTGCAATTTTTTCCCCGCCTACATCTAAAAGGTTATTTCTAACAGCTCATTAATTTTGTATCGCCTGCTGGATTCCCTCCATCGACAGAAGCTTTGACGGTTTAATATTGACATGCAGGACGAGAGTCTTTACAGTGGGGAGCGTTACAGAATGTGAATAAGTGTGGAGAAAGGTATAATCATTTAAAATAATACCTGAATGTACTACGCGTCAATAGATTGAAGATGGACTTATAAAATCAGTAGCTAAAACACTCTGAATGTGCAATTCTGCATTAATAGGCGCTTTCACACCGCAGTACTTTTCCCACAAAGGTTCATCAGAACTTAGTTCATGAGAACTCTTTAGTTCTAGTTCTTCCACCCGGAGTCCCCGGCCGGAAGTCCCCGGAGTTGGGGACTGGCTTCAGTCGAAGCTGCTGGGACTCCCAGCAGCTTCGACTGAAGCCTTCTGAGTAAAACGCCAGAACGCAGACACCTCCTCATCTCCACCGCTCCCATGTTTTCTTTTGTGTTGCCATAAGTTTCGGCCCGTCCACACAGCGGCGTGCGTTGACGCTTGCCGGCGGGCGTGTCTGACACTCGACCAACAACCAATCACATGAATCTCCCGCCCCTGACACACAAGCAGCGGTTTGATTGGCTAGAGCTTGTACTGGCATATGATTTGATTGGCTGACGCTTCTGCCGAGGCGTCAAAAGTTGAACATTGCTCAACTTTTGCAGCGAGCCACGCCAGCAACGCTCCGCGTCGCTTCCCACGATGCAGTTCGGCTAAAAGTGACGTCACTCCATTCAAAGTGAATGGGCAGAAGCGTTGGAAGCTTCAACGCACGCCGCTGTGTGGACGGGCCGTTAGTCTCTCTCCGTTGGTGCGCTAGGCTAATGCTAATGCTAATAATGCTAATGCGAGGATAATAAAATGGCGACTTCACAAATCTTTTTGGGAGTTTTACGGGGCGTGGTTTGCAATCCGCCCAGCCAATCAGACATAGGAACCTTTTTCTCCCACGAAAGTCCCTGCTCTCTAGAAGGGACGGAAAAGGGGGTAAAAAAGGTTCTGATTAACTAATTTTAGTTCCGGCTCTTTTGGTGTGAACGCGACATTTCGGAACTAAAGTGGGAAAAGTACTGCGGTGTGAACGCGCCTAATATCTCTATTAAAACACTGCATCTATTGTAAAATACACATTTTAACATATGTATAATTGTTCTATAATACGCAATGTGCAAGTTTTTATATTTCCTTCTTGCATTTGTGCTTTATATTATTTGATTTGAAATTGTTGTTGCACGTATTAACATTAGCCTCTTATTACTTACTTATTACCTTTTAATTAATATTGTTATTCCAGTCCTTTTTTTATTGCACATGTTTACTTTAATTAGAAATATTGATTTTCTTTTATCTTTTAATTCAAATGTTTAGTTTAAGTTTAGCATAAAACAATTATTTTAATTTATGTTTTTTTGCATATTTGTATTTAACTCCTTATGTTTGTATAAATATTATATTTTATCTTATCCTTTTTTGCACTATGCTTCTTTCATTTCTCATGGACAGTATATATAGATATTTTAGGTAACACTTTATATTAAGGTACACAAATTAACCATCAACTAATCAACTATTCTACAAGTAATAAGCCATTAGTTGATAGGTCATATTTGTTAAGTGTTATTATGGGAGAATTACTATTCTTATTAGGCCCATATTGAGCATATTAAGACAATAAATACGCACTAATTAGAGTGTTATTGAGGAAAAACTCTCAACTAATGCACTGATAAAAGTATTTCGTTCAACCAATTAAAAAAATGTAGGGTAATGGTTCACATCTATACTCTATAGCTTGAGCCAATGAAAAATAAATAACTTGCCTCAAACAATATTTCTTATGTCCATGGAAACTATTCTATAAGACTTGGCACAAAGTATATTTTCTTGTTGAAGGAAGTCAATTAATTTAAATTCTATATTTAATCCAAACAAACAAATATAGATTTTATCAAACAGTTTTTTCTCGTTAAAATTAACTAAATATTATTTGTTTTATCCAATCAAAAATGTATACATTTTGTTAAACTATAATTGTCTCATTTGATCTAATCCAAAAAAATATAGATTACATCAATAATTCTCATTATACATTGTGATATACATATACATTATTACTTATAAAACAAACATGGCTTATTACTTGTAGAATATGGTCATGTAGAATAAGGCATTAATAAGTATATATATATACTGCTAATATGCATGTTAATTAACAACTAGCTGATTTGTGTACCTTAATATAAAGTGTTACCATTTTTTAAACTGTTAACAACCCAATGCTCCCCCAGGGATAAATAAAGTATTCTGACTTGGTTCAACAGGGTGACATCATCCTGGAAGTAAAAGTAAAATAACTATTTTTTGACGGCATGTTCATTTTGAGAAACACCGACTGACCTGCTTGTTAGTCACAGAACATCATTATCTCTCTGAAAGCACAACCCAGACTCATCCTTTCTCTACACAAACACAAAGTCAAATTACTTCTGTATCTTGGACTTGTTGTACAAAATTGGTTCAGATGACACAAACATCACCACCCTATAGATCCATTTTCACTCGAGAGCCTCATTTTGTAGTGTTCGTTCCTGCTGAACCTGAGCCGGAGCGTCTAATTGGACAAAAACAAGCAGCTTCACATATAAGGGAAACAGAGAGGCGGCCGGCAGCTTTTTAGTTTCTGATGTTGGAGACTGCGGGGGTTCATGCTCTTTGGATAATGAGTGCTCTGGTAATTATGTCCCGAAATAAGACGAGGAAAAAATCCACTGAACCTAACACACTCTGGCTCAGGGTATATTTAAGAAAGATGATGCAACCTTTCAACATGCCATTAAATGAAATCTACAGAGTTTAAAAGTTGGTTTCACCCGGGGTTAAACTCGAAACATCTGCCGTGTTTGTTATTAGTTTGGACTTGAGGTACACCAACTCCCTAGATCAGATAAACCATTTTGTTTCTAGTCAAATTGGAAAATAGGCGCTACATCTGTTCAAAAATACAAATTATTATGTTATTACGGTTGTTCAAAGTTAAGGAAAGCCTTTTTTCAGCTCTGATGAATAGAACATTTGGGTTATAACTTTACAGTTCTTAGAAAAAACATTTGATTAATCCATCAATCAAGTATTTTTCATGTAGCCACCACATACACATTCTCAGGTGGCTTAAGTACAGCACAACTACTTCGTCACAGACAAGGAAATAACCCTGCTGCGGCGTGAACATTCCCAATGAATGATGTCGCTGAGACTTGGCTCTGTCTGTCTGTACTGAAGTTCAACTTCAACGAGGTTTAATGAAGAAAGTAAAACAAGCAATAACTAAAGTGGGACAATACGATCAACATAAAAATACCCAGCTCACTCTCTGTCTTTCCACACAAGCCCAGCAAAAAACAGGTGGATTAAATACCTTAAACCACACCCATTAATATACTTCCTGAAGGTGACCAATTACAAATGCATGCGGTGTCAACAAATAATGATAATGATAGGAACAATAAGCATTTTGGCTACTACATCCCGGATTAGGTAGAAAATGTAAGTCTGTCTGATAGTGCTATACATGCATTCATTTAAGGAAAAGGAAATTAAATCGACATTAACTCCAATGCACACTTTATTCCCACTTAAAACAATAATTTCTTTGAAATTTACTTTCAATTTTTGAGCAGGAATAATGGCCAAAGCTACAACAAATGACAACAAATCTGCAAAAAACTGTAATTTCTTTCAACAACATTGCATGCATGCTATACTATCTCAGTTGGTATTGACCCTCACCTCCTGTCGGGCAGGATGGGGACCCTCCAGCCTCTGATGAAGCTCAGGTTGTTGTCGGACAGCTCCACCTGCAGGGGGAGTTTCGGCACCCAGACGGTCAGCTCCAGCGGCGCGCTCAGGTGCTCGTAGCTGAAGATCACTCTGGCGCTCATGGACCCCCGCGTCTCCTTCCCGTTGACGAACACATAGTCGCAATTCATGGACACCTAAAGGGCAGATCAGGGTCAGAAGTCAGAGACCATCTATATGGAAATGATCCGGACGCTGGCACAGACTCTGAGTGCTGAGAGATGATATACATTACAGCACGGCTGCAGCTGTCAGCACCACAATTCATCAAAGAGCATTTCAAGGTTGACGTGGTGCGCAGAGCAAATATAAAGCGAGGATCTCTCAGATATTTGAATGCGATGTGAGAGTTCAGGGCACATAAAACATCTCTGCCAATACTTCCATTTTGTCTTACAGAAATGGTTCACCCAAATAAATTAAAAGGGAATTGAAGGTTTCACTGCTTTACCTGCCAGGTTTGGAGAGTGTCTTTTACTCAAGAAGAGTTCCATAACACTCAACTTATCGGTTAGTTCATATAAAGAGTCCTCTCCTGCTGATGTTCAGGTGTATATCAGTATGTAGTGTCTCTACTTTAAAGAGTCCTCTCCTGCTGATGTTCAGGTGTATATCAGTATGTAGTGTCTCTACTTTAAAGAGTCCTCTCCTGCTGATGTTCAGGTGTATATCAGTATGTAGTGTCTCTACTTTAAAGAGTACTCTCCTGCTGATGTTCAGGTGTATATCAGCATGTAGTGTCTCTACTTTAAAGAGTCCTCTCCTGCTGATGTTCAGGTGTATATCAGTATGTAGTGTCTCTACTTTAAAGAGTCCTCTCCTGCTGATGTTCAGGTGTATATCAGTATGTAGTGTCTCTACTTTAAAGAGTCCTCTCCTGCTGATGTTCAGGCAGACCCGGCGCCAGAACAAATCTAAAGGGAGGGCATATGATTTTCATGGGAGGGCACACAAAACCGTCACGTGCTGCGGGCCTGCGGCACAATATCAAACAGCAAGGCCAACAGCATTGCGTAAAGACGCACACTTATCGCAAACATACACAAATAAAGGGCAACATAGCAACCACTTTGAAACATTGTGGGCGTGGCAGCACAGACACTGGTAAATCACGAGCAAGGCACACTGGTTACGGATGGCAGCTTCCTCATCGCTGCACTCGGAGAGAAATAGTGGAGACGGAGACGATGAACTGCTTAGCCCGCCTTGGGCATGGTTTATGTTCCGATGCACTGCACTCGGACATGCTGTGGAGTGAATCGAGTCACATCTGAGAGGGAGTTGGTTGACGGCTAAAACATCTATAATATCAACGACAGCTGACACGTAATAACGGCTCCGTGCAGCTGATCTGCACCAAAGTTATAATTTCCTTATTTGTTTCCTCGCGTGTCTCTCTCTCTCCACAAACTCTCACATGAAATGTGTTCTTTTGATGCGGCATGCCTTAGCAGTCCTTTATCAGTCTAATGCGTGTTTCCAGTCGCAAAAACGTTTGACAGTAAAGGCCGCATCAGATGAAGACGTATTGACTTTAAAGTGTCTACAGGGGAAACAAAAGGCTGCGTCTGCTTTTAACGAATCTTCAAGCCGGTCTGTTGTTGTACCATGCAGCGGCAAAAGTGCGTTTCTTTCCTGAAAACAATCTCCCTGATAACGATCCAGTTTCACCTGCTTGGGTTTATTAACCCCAAGATCATCGCTAACTCAGCCCCGGGGTTTGCCGAGGTCAAGCTTGTGACATTAAGGCGTGCTGCTGCAACGGCAGGTGCAGGGTCGCCAGCAGCACCATCGGCTGCAGTTCTTTCATCGCTATTTCGTTTTAACAAATCCTTAGACCTTTGGAGCCGATTTCTGATCTCCATTTTGTCATTCAAACAGAAATGGGAGTCTACAGAATGCACAATAAACAAATCCAGAATAGGCGGCAGAGTGTGACGCTGTGATTGGTCTAAATGGGGACGAATCACAAATCACAACAGACACATGCATTTATTTGACGTAGCCTGCGATTTTTTTGTTTTGTTCTGACATCACATACATCGTAGCATAAAAGTTCACAGTTTATTCATAATTAAAAAAATAAAATATATTTTTAAATTTTTATAAATAATAAAAAACGTGTTTATTGGGGGAGGGCAGGAATGTCAAATGGGAGGGCCTGGCCCTCCCTGGCCCTCCCACGGCGCCGGGCATGTGTTCAGGTGTATATCAGTATGTAGTGTCTCTACTTTAAAGAGTCCTCTCCTGCTGATGTTCAGGTGTATATCAGTATGTATTGTCTCTACTTTAAAGAGTCCTCTCCTGCTGATGTTCAGGTGTATATCAGTATGTAGTGTCTCTACTTTAAAGAGTCCTCTCCTGCTGATGTTCAGGTGTATATCAGTATGTATTGTCTCTACTTTAAAGAGTCCTCTCCTGCTGATGTTCAGGTGTATATCAGTATGTAGTGTCTCTACTTTAAATAGTCCTCTCCTGCTGATGTTCAGGTGTATATCAGTATGTATTGTCTCTACTTTAAAGAGTCCTCTCCTGCTGATGTTCAGGTGTATATCAGTATGTATTGTCTCTACTTTAAATAGTCCTCTCCTGCTGATGTTCAGGTGTATATCAGTATGTAGTGTCTCTACTTTAAAGAGTCCTCTCCTGCTGATGTTCAGGTGTATATCAGTATGTAGTGTCTCTACTTTAAAGAGTCCTCTCCTGCTGATGTTCAGGTGTATATCAATATGTAGTGTCTCTACTTTAAAGAGTCCTCTCCTGCTGATGTTCAGGTGTATATCAGTATGTAGTGTCTCTACATGTCTCCATGCTTTAATGTTCAAAAAGCTCTGTATTGTTCTCATACAGTCTGTGCTGCAGCACCTCTTTTCACCCTCTGTCTGAAACCAGAGCCCAGTCTGCTCTGATTGGTTAACTGGCCAGCTCTGTTGTGATTAACGCTTAGAGATGTCCCGCCCCTTAGCCTATCACGTACAATGTGTTGGAGCGCTAGCCAATAGAAGTGCAAGTGTTATATAGTGATGTCACGATATATAAACCTAACAACATAGGAAACGGAAAATCCCAGCATAATAGAGACATCTCTAAGCGGTTGACCAATCACAACAGAGCCGGCCAGCTAACCAATCAGAGCAGACACTAAATACAAATATGAACCAATGAGCATGAAATGTCCTCTTTTAAATAAGGCTGTATGTTAATAATTAGCACACCATGTAATCGCTGCCGTGTGCCACCGACTGCAGCTTTTCATTCAAACACTACAGCAGCTGATTTTACAGCTTTAACCAGAAACATGGAACAAATCAGTGAAAATCAGCTGCTGCAGTGTTTGGTCAGAATGAAAAAGCCGCAGGCTGAGAAACACTGCGGTACACAGAGCTCACCGACTGTGGGCTGTTCTCTCATCTAATTTGCATCTGTTATGCGGCCAAATGAGTGCTTCTGCTGTATAAGTAACCCAGTGTTTGCTAAGCATGTACAGTGAGCATTAGGCATGCGTCTCACGTCATAACCCTCCACCTCTCAGAATAATGATCTATGAACAATTACACAGACGGCAACAAAAGCTTTTAGGCAAACGCATTATTCATGTGATGTGAAGGCCGACAGCAGTGTGACATTTCACATGCGCTTTAGCTCATAACACCTACATGGCACATTAATACACATAGTCATGGTTAGGACATTAATGTAATATCATTTGTGAGTGAGTGAGTTAGAATTCAATCTACGGGCAGTGCTACATTTTATTCTCAGCCATTTGTTACTTTAAACCATTCTTTAGCTTTACCCCGCCTAGTCAGAAAGATCCAGCTCCATTTGAATTATCATAAATACTTGTCCCCCTCTAACGCTAAATTATTAACTGCATTGGAACTGGAGGGCTTTGCTTTTGGGCTGGGAGATTTATCTGGTGGTGGGAGGGAGCTGGCATTGTAATCAGAGGATCTAATCTGCGGAAAATGGAGGTCGGCGGCCGGTTTTCTCAGAGCCGAAGATTCATCAAAACTGGGAGGAGGTCTGGGTAATATGATCCCCCCCTCACCCCTGGATGAACTTCTTACGATGACAGTCGTTCCCCTCTGCTTCAGCTAATGCAATCGTGCAGGGTTTGACCTCGTGCGCGTGCTTGGGGAGTAATGGATTACATTTAATTTAGGATTATCAGGATACAGAGAGATTACAGGTAACTGTGTTCGCTTACAGAGAAACGGAAGTAGTCGGATTATCAAGGATGACGATGTTACAAAACATTTGGAAATAAGGATAGGTAGATGCACTGGAGATAATACCTAGTACAATATAATACAAAGGGGCTTAATTGGCATGACCACATTTTAAACATAGTATTGCCAAAGCGTTCTGCACACGGCGTTATAACAGAACAAATCGAAAATGAACATTTAACACTTAGTAAAAAACATCCTTTTGATCTTTATATTCCCTCGTATTGATTTGCATTTAATATTGATCCAAAAGTAATGGAAAGTAATCAGGATACTTTTATATTGTGTTACTTAAATTATGCTACTGTTTTTCACATCTAACTAGTTATTGGAATACATTTTTAAAGTAACCCTCCCAACCCTGTGTGTGTGTGTGTGTGTGTGTGTGTGTGTGTGTGTGTGTGTGTGTGTGTGTGTGTGTTATTATTCATCTGCAGTGTGAGTTAAAGCCGGAGTAACTCAACACAACGACCTCGGCCACCTTAATTAATCTCAGCACGTCTGGCTGTATGCAGAGTGGAGAACATCTGCCTGACATGTACTCCCTGCTCCCCTGAACACACACACACACACACACACACACACACACACACACACACACACACACACACACACACACACACACACACACACACACACACACACACACACACACACACACACACACACACACACACACACACACACACACACACACACACACACACACACACACACACACACACACTGAACAGCGGCCCTATCCACAGAGCCGCTTCACTTCCTGCGGCTATTGCTGCTGATAAACTTGGCTGGCTAATTGCGAGTCAGAAGCTGTTAGCGGCTGCGGGTCTCAGTGTTCCCGCGGGGCCGTTCTGAGGAGGGCTTTCACACACTGAGCCGCCACATGCCGTCACACCGCTGCT